GGATCAGGGTGCTTTGTCCTTTCTGTGGGACCGGTACCAAATCTGTCGGTTTGTTTGAGCCCACGCTGTAAGAAGAAGAATGTGTTGGTAATGTCTAGATCACTTCAGCTGCGTACAACACCATCTTTATACTCACCCCACAGCTCAGGCCACTCTACCGATTCAGACATCCGAGAATCGCACACCCTATGACTCCATGGACCAACATGACTTTGCCGTCGCAGTGCTGACTGTTTCGGTAATTGACCTGAAAGGCGTGGGAGGCTTGTTTCAGCGGCTTTGCTTGTCGAAGACATGACCATACGCCTGAGAGGCGCAATGTGGAGACAGTTTGACGCCAGCATTGCGCCAGATGGGTCCAATGGGAGACTTGCGCTGAAGCCGCTTTCTCCCGGAATACGCTAGTGCATGTGGACTTCCCGACGGGTAGCAAAGAATGCGCGGTGCGAGTGTTGTACTCCTGAGGCACGGGTGTAAAAGGCTAGTCGTACGAGAGCCAGGTCACATCGACATATGCCAACGACGCCGCAGGATCGCGGCGTACGTTTTTGAAGCTCTTGTTGGTATTCTGTCTTGCATGATGTGCAGGTTGGCTTGCGTGAAGAGCGGAGGAGGGTCATTTGGGTGTAGGGCGTGCGTCTTGTGCACAGGCGCGATCCAATAGCTGGAAAGTGGGGTTGGCGCGTCCTAGTGACGAACGCGCGCGCCCTGTACATGTCAATCGTCGGTGGCCGAAGCCGCTGTATGAATGCGATGCACGTTGAGCCTTGCGATCTCAGCAACTCGACCGTGCTTGGGGTAGAAAGTGCGGCCCATGTCAATTGCGCAACGTTGACAACAGCCTTATTGCGGCACAAAAACAGATCAAGCGGCACAGAAGCATACGTGGGAACGTCAGCGATGAATAACATGATTTTGGACTATCGAACACCTGATTTGATGTCTAGGGCTTAACAACTGTCTGCCACGGAAGTGTATTATCGAAGAAAAAGGTTGCTTTTGGCTGTGCCGCAAGGCCTTCGCCCGTCATGTTGCACAGCTTGGTCACGTCACCGGCCTCTGCACGCTTCGCCTTGATGATATCTTGGTACTGAGACAGGGGGCAAGATGAGCCAGGACCACTGGTGCAGTCCACAACAGGGTAGACAACCTCGTTAATGCGGATGCGCACGAAAGTTTCTTGAGAGGCGGTGCCGTTGTAGTTGGTTGCATAGCCAGAGCCGTATGTGCTATTGTGGGCAGCAGCAGGACAAGAGAGGCGTTCGAATGCAACAGTTCCGCGCATCTTCACGACCTGAGAGGAGCGGAAGAGTCGGTCCGACAACGACATGTTACCAGGAAGCTGCTGTTGTTTGTCGAAAACACCGATCGCAGCGGCCAGCTGGTTGATTTGGCCATCATTTGCGAAATTGGCCATGATCTTTGGAGGGACAAAAGTGCCATTGCCCGTCTTGTAGGTCGCGTCTGGACCATCAACAAAGCGTTGCACAGTCATGTCAACGATAGGCAACATCTGGTATTTCTCGATATCGGATCCCAGGCCGGTGCCGTACCAATAACGCAAATCTTGCGCATACTCGTACTGCAAGATCTCTTCCTGTGTGAAGATATCGCAAAAGGGGCTTCGACGGCCGGTGATCTGGGTCTCGAATCCACACAAGTAGGGTATCTGGTCGACTTGACTCGTTGTAAGGTTCAGGCCTTGGATCTTCCCGTTGAGCCTGGCGGCAATCGGGGGAAGGTACATAGAGTCCCACGTCTCCTTGGCAGGACCTCCACCCGCGTCATCGTAGGCCTTGCACAGGTCGCTGGGAGCAAGAGTGTTGCCCCAACTGGCAGGGTCGCTCGCGTTGAGAGCATAGATTGTAGTGAGGTCTGTAGCGTTCGGCCCCACGAAACCTTGAGCGAAGAGACGTGCGCTGTCCCGAACGCGTGGACCAGACGTATAGTAGTTTGCCCACATAGTAAAAGCGGTGTTGTACTTGTACAGGTCGGGGTAACGAAGGCGCCACGTTGTACCCATCTCGTGTAGTTCTTTCCAGCCGGTCGGGCTCAGATTAGCGATTTGAGCGTCCGGGTCTGAGAGGACCGGCTTCCAGGATTTGAGGAACGCGAGCTTCCCGTCGGTGATGGTGATGTCTCCGGCGGCTTGGATGTAATTGGCGAATTCAACCCACCCATTGTAGGCGCCACTATAAAAGTAAAAAGACAAAGTCAGCCTATGCCTCATGTACAGCGCGTGCAGTAGTTACCGGTCTGGGAACCGCGAACCGTGACGGGAGAAGAAAGCTATGTGTTCTTAGTCTGGCATTCTTCAATCGCGGAATCAAGCTGCCCTACCTGCCAGATCGACCTTGCATCCTGTAGGTATATCGGACGAAATGCCCGTCACCTCTTCGCCGGGGAACCATTGTCCGTTGCCGCCGATATGCTGGAAGACATTGAAGTTGTCTTGGGCTGCAACAGCAGCACTGCTAGCGGCGAGAGAAAGAGCAAGAAGCTTCATGATTACCGTTAAGAAATGAGGGACGCTTCGAAGTGCAGATAGGAATAGAGCGCACGCCTATCATCTTTATACCCGACATGTTGATTGTTTTTGGTGTTGTCAAGTTCAGCACCTGCTTTAGCCTCGGAGATGAGTTCTGGCGATGCTTCCTAAGGCGGTAAGGATGCTCAGGAACCAGCTGCACGTGGGAGCATCGACGGCGTGGGTGGTCTCTTCGCATGGAGGCGCGGTCTGCCACAGCGGCCAAGGAACTCCATTGTAGGATGCAATCCTTCGCGCATGCGAAATACGATGGTTTCGACCCGAGCTTCGCGTGAATTGCGGTTGACGTAGGTTGATAGCAGTGGATGACCATGCATCTGTCGCCCTTCGGAGGTGCATGCTCCGATTAGTCACGCCTTATCGATACCGCACCCGCGATCGCGGCATCTGACTGACTCAATCTTCAGCTATCTTTGCCAATAACACACCCGCAACGATGCACGTCTCCATGTCCCCTCGGTGACTATCCGAATCAAGCTCCTCTCAGCACTTCTATCCATCAGATCATGGCTGAATCCAAGCCGCGTCAACGCAAATTCGCGCCAAGGTCACGGACGGGTTGCCTCACATGCCGAACCCGGCGGAAGAGGTGCGATAGCGCCCAGCCTCAGTGTGCCAACTGCAAACGCCTCAACCTGTTATGCGAATGGCAAACTCCACGAAGTATCGTTTCGGAATCGTCTTCGTCCCAGTCAAGCTCAAAGAGCCCGGAGCGCCAGGTCGCAGTCCCACTGCGCTCGTCTCTTGATCCATGGGATGCACTACCGGGCGACGAAGGAGCGGAGCGGATGCATTTATTGCAGTATTACATCGAGGCGTTTGTACCCAGTGTCCAAGTAGCACCTATTGCAACGAGTTTCTACACCAGCCTCTACATGCCTTGGTCTTTCCAGATCGAAGGTATGCTTGACGCTATTCTGGCTATATCTTCTGCTCAGTTGGCGAGGCGAAGCCAGGACGCAGACCGCGCCAAACACCTTCGCGCCGTATCCTCCCGCCACGAGAGGAAGTGCTATCAATTCATCAAGGAGCGCTTGAACCCGTCGGGTGGATTGCCAGAAGATACCTACCAGGTTACTGCGGTGATTCTCATCCTGGTAGGACTAGAAGCACTCAATGGTGTCAAAACTACGAGATGGATATCGCAATTGAAGAGTGTGCAACGGATACTTAGTGCGCTTACTCCGGAACAGAGCATCATGGACTGTGTTGAAGTTGATTCTTTGCATCGACACTTCACTTACCACTTCGCCTCTGCTTCGCTCATGGCGCGGGTGTCAAACGCCGGAAAGGCCTGTTCGGCAGAGCAGGGCTTGATACCAATCAGCGCCGCCCTAATGCCAGGCACAATCGACCCGCTCATGGGCATCTCATACCAGCTATGCGACCTGATTTCACGGATACAGTATGTCACCTCTTCGAGTCCCGCGTTTCCCCTCGCTACCGAAGCGTCTTTCAACGTCATCGAGAAGGGTATACAGAATTGGGCTTACGACAACCCGTTTGCACTTGGCGTCGATACTCCTATAGCTCTCGACCTCATCGCCTTGGCAGAAGCCTACCGTTTAGCAGCTCTCATTCAGCTCTACCGCACCTCGCCTAGCCATTCAGCCAATATTGCGGGCTGTGCATCACGCGCGATGGAGTTTATCGCTCGTATACCACCGGGAAGCGCCGCGGAGTCAAGTTTGCTCTACCCAATATTTCTCGCTGGAGCCGAGCTAGATGATGAAGCGGCCATCGAGAAGTGCTTCCAGAGGCTAGAGGATATCCAGAATAGGAATCGGTACGAGAACGTTGAATGTGTCCAAAAGGTGTTAAAAGAAGTGTGGCGACCGAAGCTTGAAGGTGGTCAAAGAAGGGACTGGGAAGAAGTGGTAAGAGAGTGGAACTGGTCATTTACTTTGGGTTGATGCGATCCCGATTCAACTCTCCTCAGAAGCACCTTTTGCCCCGATCAAATGCTTCGCTCTGGCGGGATGCCATGCGTACGTACCGGCTTGGAACCTCGGACATATCCGCTCTAAAGGAGCACTCATCGGCTCACTTATGATCGATGCCTCACTCAACGGCAATCTAAAATTCGCCCGGGCCGGGTGTGTTTGGTGATGGAGTAGCTCCTTCCCCGCATGACATACTGTATCTTGGCAAACCCCGCCTCCTCCTGCAGCCCCCATCGAGATGTCGAACTTTGCCCCGATTTGCTCGCATGTGTCTCTTTGGGTAACCATGGGATTCTGAGCTGTGCCCAGCGTCACCGATTACTTGGCCACTTTCCCCGCTTTGTAGCCTCTCGCTATCCACTTTTGTATTCTACTGCGTAGCGTCTGCGCGACGTCGATTCTTCACTCATCTACCAGGCGATTGCGTTCGACTGAGCATCATTGTTTTACGCCTACAACCTTCTACGTGCGACTCTTTGATCAACATGGCGAACGCCGCTACTCCAACCATGGCCACTCCCATCGACTTTAACAGTGTGCTGGATACATCCAACCTCAAAGATCGTTCGGTGCTTATCACTGGCGCAGCATCTGGCATTGGTCTAGCCTGCGCGATAAAGATGGCCGAAGCAGGCGCAATAGTCACCATGGCTGATCTACACGATACGGCTGGGGGCGTCATCCAGGGTAAGTTCTGGCCGTGGGAATTGCCTGTGATATACATACTAACTTGGTGCTCCCACCTCTGCAGATCTAACCACTCGAGGCCTCAGAGTGCAGTTCGTACAATGCGACGTGGCATCCTACGAGGATCAAGCCTCCATGTTCCAGTCTGCAATCATCTTTGGAGATAGGCAGATTGACATAGTGATCCCAAATGCAGGCATCCTTGCCGAGAAGAACCTCTTCGACATGGTGCCAGCCACGTTGCCAAACCCAGGAGACACACCACCACCTGCTCCAAGCTTTGCTTGCGTGTCCGTCAATCTTGAGGCAGTATACAATACCTGCTATCTAGCACTACATCACTTCCGCCTCCCGCGCGCAGCAGCAACAACTTTCAAGCCCAGCATCGTTCTCATCGCCTCGCTTGCAGCCTATATTGGATACCCATATAGCACCACATACAGCATGTCCAAGTTCGGTGTTCGAGGACTTCTGTACAGCTTGCGCGAGCGCGCCATGCATTCTTCGATCCGCATCAATCTTGTTGCACCCTGGTACGTGGATACCGGCATCGCCAAGCAACCCGACTTTGTAGAGGACAACGGCGCTGTTCTTAACATCATAGGATTTGTATCCATGGACAGAGTCGTGGATGCTGTGGTGAGGTTTGCTTCGGTTCAAGAGTTGTGTGGAAGAAGCGTAGGCATCTTCCCCAAGGGCAGCGAAGATCTTCTCGACGATCTGGAAGGTGGATACGGCGGCGCGATAGTGAGTAAACATATGCGCGAGGTTCAAGCAGTCGTCGTGCAGGAGATGCAGAAACAGATGCAAACGTAGTTCATTGCCCAGTAGACCCGATATGAGAAACATCTTCGCGATATCGGCTTTGTCAATCACGACTGTCGACATCACATACTGGTTTGATGTTGATTTCAACCAGAGTCACGCTGATTCTCATCCCACAATCTCTGCTCGCATGGCCGTGTGGAGAATAGTACAATGTTACCACTGCCATGTGGGCCCGCGTTTGTACAAGCCATCGTACATGATGTACAAACATGCCTTGCCACCCAACATAGACATTTTCGCCGCCAGTGCTAGATACATTTGTGCTTAGCCTTGGTTCACGCGCGTAGCCATATGCCTGAGAAGCTTAAGAGAAGCTAGCTTCGGGACGCCGGAAGGGGCGTTTGTGAACGGATGCAACATCGCATCCCTCTGGACAGGCGAGGCCCACCAGGCGATCAACGCGGACCTGTTTATAAAATTTTGTCGGGTCTGTCCGCCTCAACCGTCCGTAGTCTTTCGCCCGCCGGTATGTTGTTGCGCCGTTTGCGATGAAAGCCCTGGGGCGTGTGAGAAATGTTCAAGTATATCTATGCGAAGAGAATGCCACATCGAACAAAACAACAGTAACAAACATGCCACACATCCAGGATCCCCAAATGAAACGAGAACCACGAACCGGTATCGACATTCTCGTCGTGGGAGGCGGCATCGGCGGACTCACCTTCGCAATCGAGGCCCACCGCAAAGGACACAATGTGCGCGTTCTTGAACGGAATGACGAAGGTCAATACTCGGGTACGTACCTCCGCATCCAACTATCGACTTCCAAAAGAACCAAACTAACAAACCGACAGGTGAGATCATCATGATTACCAGCTCAGCGCTCGAAACGCCCAAGAAATGGCCAGGATTCTTAGAACGCCTCAGGGCCCTCGCATCGCCACCAACCTTTGACCTGCGCAAATACGACGGCACATTCATCCAACACCATGCTCCAGGCGACTCTGCAAATCCGTCTTTGAGCATCTACCGGAAGAGGCTGCATAGTTTGCTGAATACCTACGTCAAAGAGCTCGGTATACCCATAACGTACGACGTGAAAGTGGACGCATACTTTGACTCAAACACATCAGGCGGTGTTATTCTCAAAAGTGGTCAGAGGATAACTGCAGATGTGGCGGTAGCCGCAGATGGTGTAGGCTCTAGGTCCCGCGAGATCATCGACGGGAATAGAGAGAAGCCGATTAGTTCTGGCTTTGTTGTCTACCGGACTTCTTTTCCTACTGGGCCGGCGATGGACGGGTATCCCCTTGTTGCGAGGGAGTTTCTGGGGCACGATCACCGTGGTTTCATGTATATTGGTCCCGGTGCGCATATGGTCATTTCTCATGACAAGGGCGAGCTGTGCTATCTATTGACTTGTAAGGTTTGTAGTCGCTACTTTATTGGCCTTCCTTGTTGATCGTTGCTAACGTCTGTTAGGATGAGAACGGTACGGCAACAGAGAGCTGGTCGAAAACCACTTCCACGGATAGGATTCTGGATGTTGTAAAGGATTGGGATCCTTTTGTTACGGAGGTGATCAGGGCGACACCGAACAATCAGGTGCTCGACTGGAAGCTGATGTGGCGTGATCCACAGCCGCAGTGGGTGTCGAAAGGCGGCCATGTCGTGCAGCTGGGCGATGCTGCCCATCCCTTCTTGCCTACGTCATTCAGTGGCGGCACGATGGCCATGGAAGACGCGTACTCGCTAGCAGCCTGTCTACATGTTGCCGGGAAACAGCACGTTGCGCTTGCAACCAAGGTGCACAATAAGCTGAGGTATGCCGATATAGATCGTGGAGAAACACCAGCGACTAACTTCGAAATTGTAGGTTTGAGCGAGTATCCTGCGCGCAGAAACTAGGATTCAAGAATCGTGAGATCTTTCACAACACCGACTGGAAAGACGAAAAGGCGGTGCCGACAAAGCAGCACAAGATGGTCGGAGATTGGTTGGTCTGTCACAATCCCGAGAAGTATGTTTACGATAAGTACCACAAGTGTGCTGAGCATTTGGACACGGGTGTCGAGTTCTTGAACACGAACATACCGCCGGGATACAAGTACAGACCGTGGACCGTCCGCGGGCTGCTGGGGGCCTCGGAACGTGGCGAAGTGGTTGAGGATGAAGGCGACTGGTCCTAAAAGAAGGGAAGCTTGCAGAATGCAGCGTTATCACTGTAACTGCTTCAGCTTATCAATTGGCCATGCTGGCAACATCTCTTCTCGATGTATATATATGGGCATCCGGCGGTAACTGTTGATGCTGATTAGAACTGCCGAACTTCATGCTTCTCTCTGCTGTGTCCTGCCCCCGCTCCCTGTGGCTTACTGTTCCGTCGGTCGTATCCGCCGAACTTATAGCATGCCAGTATGCCTGGCTATTGCTTGCCGTTGTATAGGCATGTAGCATGCCAGATGCCAACTTGTCATGTCCTCTTGATGGATAACCTCGCTATTTTGTCCAACTGCTGCCTCCGAGTCGTGGAAACAGCCAAGCCGCATTTACATATATTAGAACGCTCGAAGAGAACGCGCACATCGCTTCCTACAACGATACGGGCGCCTTGATTGTGGACGAGTGCGGTCGGGTTCCGTTCGAGGAGCGTGGCATCGTGCGCGCGTGTAGGAGGTGCTCTGAGAGCGAGGACTGTGGCAGGGTCGATTGACAGGGCTCCAGCCTGCCCGGCGGCGCCAGTCTATGCCCGTGATACGAAACGCGCGTGGGTTCTGGAGCGTACGATGATGCCGTTGAGCTTCTCATGGCGACATGAGGAAAGCTTCGCGATTGCGTGCTGTCGTGTTCCGATATGAGTGTCTTTAGCCAATGTCCCAACCATCTGTTGTATTGAAAGAAGGCAAGTTAGGCATAATAAAGCTCCCTTCGCGCAATGATCGCGTGGATTAGGGGTGTTGGTGGATAAACGTCCCATGACGACAAGCTCAACGTCGCTGAATGCCGAGGGATGTCGGAACGCTGCTCGGAACGGCTTGGCCCGGTTTGCCCTCCCATTCATCTAAGCTGCACTCCAACGGCAAGAATCTTAGTAAGACTCGGACATTTCCCATATCAACCATGTATTTCCAAGCTTCTGACCCAGGCCTGAAGTATTCGCGATATTGGGAAACTTCACCGTCACGGCACTGAAGCATGACGGCCGATCGCGGAGCTCGAGGCCTTGTCGCTGTAAGTCAATCTCCATCATCCCCAGCGCAACGAAACTGACTGGGTACCTAGATAACAGGCGCAAACGGAACAATAGGCTATGCCTGTGTGGTCTACGCGCTGCAAACTGGCTATCGAGTCCGGTGCATCGTGCGCCACGCCTCCGCCATCGAAACGATCAAAACCGGGCCCTCTGTGCAGCCCTACTTCGACCTAATCGAATACGTCGCCGTGCCAGACAATGCGGTCGAGGGAGCATACGATGAAGCTGTTGCGGGTGTCGACTATGTTGTGCACATAGCAGGAGCATGGCCGATGCTCCATCTGGATCCTGACAACGACATCTACCATCCATACATCAGGTCGACGACGGGCTTGATAGAAGCAGGGCGCAAGTCTGGCACAGTCAAGAGGATGGTATTCACGCAGGCGGGAGCGGGCCTTGTTGACTCTGAAGACGGCGATACACTGGGTACGCGTATGGAACGCGTCTTGGACGGTACGTCTCTTTGCTTCTGCCCTCGCGCCTCACTTCATGCGTCTTACTGACCGATACAGAGGCAGTTCAGGTCTCGCAAACATCCCTCGCATACCGACCCCCTCTCAAATCCCCGCACAACGCCTACTGCTCCGCAAAAGCCCAATGTATGACCTACCTCGCTGATCTCCAAGCTTCCCATGAGCTCCCCTTCTCTATCGCGCAAATCATACCCGGTACCGTCATCGGTCCTTCGGAGTTCTGCACAACGTCGGAGCAAGCGCGTGCGCATATGGATCGACAGAGCAAGGCATTGCTGTTCGATGATGTGGCACCACGGTATGCGTTTGGTTTCGTGCATGTGCAAGACTGCGCTCGCATTCATATCGAGGCGCTAGATGAGAGGGTTAGAGGCGAGGATCTGCCCAAGTGGTATGTTGCCGCTGGGACGGTGGAGGAGGGGACAGATGGTGACAAACTCTGGAACTCTGTGGCGGACATGATCGAGCGAGACTTTGCCAAGGAGGTCAAGACTGGGGTTTTCACATTGGGACGCCAGAAGGTGCCTATCAACATGCCATTCCGCGTCGAATCAAGCATGACGGAGAAGATGCTGATGAATGGTGACAAGATTAGGGGGTTAGAGGATAGCGTGAGAGAGGTCGCGGAGTGGTACATTCAACTTAAAAGAACAGAGGAGAAAGCAGATTTGTAAACTGGGATAATGTTGGGCACGAACTGAATCCATCGAATTATCCTGATGTCATGCGCTCTACCACTTGAAGCTTTCTTCAAAGTACTCCACCCCTCTATAACCTTTATCCAACATCTGGACACTCGCTTTCCTAGCCTGATCCGCCATCAAAGCTGGCCCACAAGCCACAATCGCCAGACGTTGCTGGCCCGCATCTCTAGCAGCCTCTTGAACTGTTTCATGTACGTCAGGTCTGTGTGCCATGATTCTTACGCTCTTCAGGTCTTCGCCCAACACATCGTCTTTTGCCTCATCATCCCGAGTGACGTGCACTTCCATCTCGACTCTCTCATCACTCAACAAGCCTCTGAAGTCGCGGAGAACAGAAGTGAGGAACGCGTACTCGCGTACTGCCCATACAATCTTCACACTCCGTACACGTGATGTACTCGCCAGAACGTGGGCTAGGTGTGATAGCGGGACTGCGATACCCGTTCCACCGACTACAAACAAAATGTTTTGTGAACTGCGGAGAGGAACAGTGTGTCCATAAGGCCCTTCCACAAGGATGCGGAGTCTTTTGGGATGCAAGAGACAATGTGACTTCAATCGGGATGTGAAGCCGTCGTACGGTCGGACAAGGAACACCATGTTCGATGAGGCATCTGAGGCTTTAGACGAAAGGAGTGCATCCGACTCTGTGGTTGAGGCTGATGAAGTACGCGAGTGTTCCGGCCTCGCTGAAAGCGGCGATAGTGGCGTAGATGGAGGATTGTCCGTATCTTTTGAACTGTATGCCAACGTGAACGGATGGCTCTGATGTGCATAGAACAGATCATCCAACACGTGGATGTAGTAGTAAGAGCCAGGCCTTGGGGCTACTAAGCTCTTACTACTATCGACTTCCATGCGCACGAGGTTACTGCTAGGGTCATAAGTAACCCTAGCCTTGGTACTCAGCGGGCTGCGGTTGAAAGCTAAGATTCGTGAGAGGCGCATGATCCGGTCAAAGACCCAGACACCAACGCATGGCCAGATGAATATATTCCACTCGCCATTAGTGAAAATCTCAACATGGTAGTACATAGTCCAGAGGGTTGCGATCGAGAGCGCTATGTGCGTGACGAGGAAGAACTCGTAGTGCGCACGGCGGATACCGTAGAACGAGAACGCCAAAAGACCGCACATGGCGATGGTTGACAGTTCGCCGTTCCAAAAGTAGTGCTTCGTCCAGTAGTTTAGGAAAGATGGCCATCCTCCGCGCTCCAGTATCATCAGCGTGTATCCCACACTGTGCACTACGGCTTGTACTGTGGCAACCCTTGCCGCCCACCGATGGAAAGCGTTGTAGGTACCGAAACCCCATCCAGTCACCCAGATCAAAAGATCATTGCGCATACCAAAGAGCCAGACGAGTGGGAAGTTCGCGAGCGATATGATTCCCGTACGATCCGATACAAAACGGAGGAATTGCACTGACTTCTTCGGCCAATAAAGGTTGCCTTCGGTGAGACGGTAGGAGCAGCTGCAGAGAACAACGTTGAGCGCGACAAAAAGAAAGATGGTAAGCGACTGGATCCGTGGTGGGATGGTACACCAGCCGTACGGTCGAGAACAACGATCACCAAAAGCGGCAGGTGTAGTAACGTATCGCCTGAGCCATGTTCGGAGGGAAACCAAGGGACTTCGAGGTCCAGAAATCCGGCCGGATTCGACTTCTGGGACTGTTTTGTATGACATGTGCCGCTGTTCACTGCGTAGAAGTGACAGTATACGCGTCGTTACACCAACGGCCACTACTACGAGCCAGAAGTAGTACATGTACCAGCTATGGGTATTATATTAGCGAAGTCGCGCCTAACGGGATACAGGCTCGACTTACCCATACACGAGATGGATCTCGTATTCCCAGAATGCCGCTTCCTGTACGCCACATTTAGCACTCCATAGTCTTATCGGCCGTACAAGCAGGAACGTACCATGGTGGTGAAAGCTCGCCTTACAAGCTCATCACTTGGTATCACAACTTCATCAATGGTCGGAAACCTGAGTGCCTTTTCAGCTGACAGTCGCGTCACTCTAGCCTTGTCGTCAGGGGTCCATTGGTCCAGAATATCGCGAAAGGAAGGTAATGTAATGTTCGCGTGTGCTTCACACCAGGGATTCTGGTTCTCGATCCATTTTTCTGTCTGGCTGTCCTGTATGCAGAACTCGTCGAAGCACAGATACAGTGATGTGACGCGTAATTCACTTTGGCATCCTCGGATCTTGCTCGAAAGCGAAGGGTCGGTGTCGTTGAAGGTTACATAGTTGACGCCGGTCTCACATGCCAAAGGGCAGTACTTTCCCGAGTACAAAGCATGTGATGCACCTGTAAGCGTGTACAGAATGATGGAGATGGATGAAGTGCGCATGAGTGGACGCGATGAGGTACAAGATGGGGCGACGCAAGCTCGGAGTCGGAGATTGGCGGGGTCGTGAAATCTTATCAGATGTCTACGCACGGGCCCGCGCTGGCATCAGGCGCGCTTCTTTCGCGTCAGCTGGGTTGTTGCTTCGAGCTTGCAAATGGCCAGTGTCTGTGAGCACAAAGTTTACGCAGCGGCCATACTCGCTGTCTTAACCCCCTGTGGCACCACGTCATGTCTCACACCGCCTCAAAGGCGACCTTTCTCTCTTTACCTATCGAGCTCCGCCTAGAGATTGTCGCATACGCGCTGGAACAATCTGACGCGGGACTCACGAAACACCACGAGTCCAATGAGGGACGAACTTGTTCTACGATAGATGAGAGGTACAAAGCTAGTACCAACCTTGCGATACGGCTGGTTTGCCGCCAGTTCAACGCTGAGTTCCGTCGCCTTGCCATCCACAGTACCCTCTTTGTGCTCGCCAGGAACTCCACACGAGTTGCCGGTCAGCAAGTCGAAGAGCTTCTCCAAGATGTCAAGAAGTTGAGGATTCACTGCGACCATGAGACCATCAGGAAATGGTGCGAGTACCCGCTGAACAGGCAATGTATGCATCTCGATGAGCTACAGTTTGTAATGCCACTCGACGACTCTGCCAACCGGACAGCCCTCGTGGGTCTGCTCAGACGTCTGCGCAACGTCAAACAAGTCAAGCTCCTCTTCCCGAACCATCGTGTTGCAAAAGAGCCCTATGGGTACATCAGATTACTCGGCGAGTTGCTCAAAGAAGACCATTTCCAGAGATACGATGCCCCGAACGCCCCCAATTTCGAGTCTACATGTTGGGAGTGGAGTTTTGACAAAGAGTCTAGTTGGGCTGTCTTCGTGGCTCGGGAACCTATAGCGCTTATCCCGGAAGAGCATTACTTGCTGCTCATGAAGCCGAAGATCGACTACATTATGGATTACATGGCATCATAGCACCAAAACGGTAGTAGTCACTGTGCGACACAGCACGTTCGCGTCGTTAATGTGATGACGAAGGGGAACTGCATGGATCCATAGAGTATGCTACCAAATCAACGGATTTCAACAATGATTGATGGGCCAAAGATTGCGCGGGTGCCATGATTCGGCCCAGGGCTTTGACGCGTCTTCACGTGCTCCAACACAGCTGCATCCCCGAGTGCTGCGTAAGACTAGAACATCAGCATGGCTTAGCGGTATGGTGGACTCTGGTATTATAAATGTCGCCGTGCGGAAAGAGGCCACAGTCGCTTACTGGCATTTGAGTGTGGCAGCTTAGAAATCACGCTGCTTCGGAGGCCCAGGAGATCCGACGCGGCCCCCACTTGCCCAACGATGCACTTGACGCACTGCATCGCGCCTGCCTCACCCCCAAGCGCGACTGCTATAACACCAGCCATGCCACGCCCTTCCAGACGCCGCCTACTCCCCATATCAATTCACCGTCCACCATGAGCGCTCCGAAGCCTATTCTCATCTCCGGCGCCGGCCTCGCCTCGCTCCTCCTCGCCCGCTCGCTGCACCGTTCCAAGATCCCGTTCCTCGTCTTCGAACGCGACGCGTCCATCGTCTTCAGAGCGCAGGGTTATAGGTTGAGACTCTCAGCGCAGGGTCTGGACGCCATTGAGCAAGTGCTCGGTCCGGCAGGATTCAAGACGTTCTACGACGCCTGCGGCAAAACTGGCGGGGCTGGATTCGCGGCAGTGAACCCGCTGACAGGCGAAACAATAGGTGGAGATGCTCCGAGCGTCAAGAGCGAGCCTTTGACCAGCAGAGACGGCAAGGTCGTTGGAGTGTCGCGCGGTGATATGCGCAAGCTGTTCATGGACGGCATCGAGGACCGTGTGGTTTGGAAACATCAGGTCGCAGCCTACGAGAGGACGGACAATGGTGTGCGACTAGTCTTCGCCGACGGTACCAAGTCCGAGGAGGGCTCTATGCTGATCGGGGGTGAGGGTGTCAAGAGTGCAGTCGCTGGTCAGCTGTCCAATGGGGCGATCAAAGTCTACGATCTCGGTTCCAGAGGAATACATGGACAAGCCCCGACAGCAGCCTTCAAGGCCCTGGGCGAAGGTGTCTTCCGCCTCGTCGACGATACATCACAGCCGAACGGCGGCAAGGTCTTCGTCATCACAAACGTGCGCGCAGGCGACATGGACAAGCCCGACGTCAACTTCGGCTGGACCATGATCGGCTCTCCAGGCGTCATCAAAGCGCCGAACGACAATTACACGATTACTGGGCCGCCTGCTGCACAGATAGCAAAGGCGCTCACATCGCACTGGCACGATCGTGTCAAGCCACTCTTCGATAACATGGCCGAGTCGGAAGCAGCTTTCTGGAAGATAACATGTTCGTCACCAGAAGGTGTACCGAAGTGGCCCAATGACCCTCGTGTCACTCTGGTCGGTGATGCAGTGCATGCTATGACGCCAGCAGGAGGTAACGGCGCAAACACAGCTGTGCGCGACTCGGCTCTCCTCGGTCGATTGATAGCCGAAGCCTGGGAGAGAGGCGATGGCGATAGATGGACGGGTGTCACAGAAGCATATGAAAAAGAGATGCGAATATACGCAACAGAGGCTGTCAAGGCTAGTTATGGGCAGGCTACAGGGCAATTCGGCATTGATCTTGATCTCAACACTGCGCCTACAATCAACGAATATGTCGCGCCAAACTGAGTATTCTTCGTTGCAGCAGACTGGTCATCAGTCCGAACAGGATTTAGCGTCACTTTCCTATGAGACGGCATTAGGTCGTGTTGACGAATGATACGCATCATCTTCATCCTTACTTTTACGTGCGACTCACGGTCACTAACGATACAGGGTGTTCTGGCTGGACAATTGCAAGCCCCCAAGTCTGCCGCGGGACGAATGTCGCGTCCTCCGTTGCCGAATGTAGATTCCGCCGCAGAGCCACGACTCATGTGTAGCTTCCCCGCATCTCCATCAGGCCCACCCCCGACTTCAAAAAACCGGGCCATCCAGTACGTGCGAAATTCCCGATAACAATGGATTCGCCGCGACCGCGCAAACGCCGTGCCATCAATGCATGCGTCAGTTGCCGAACGTCCAAAGTACGATGCGACGGGAACCGCCCTTGCCAACGATGTGACCGGAATGGCGCAACTTGCCAATACTTTGACGCCGTAAAGGACGAAAATGTGTTGCGAATCGAAAGGCTCGAGAATGAGATGGCTGCACTTCGTGAACACATGCGCATCCAGCGACATGAAGACAAGAGTGTACGTAGGCCTGAAGACTACACTAGGATAAAGGAGGCAAATCAGAACATCTGGCGCCAATGTAGCTCCAGGGTGTTCTGTTTCCTCCTTATTTGAGGTGGTGTCCTGCGCGAATCAGCGGAAAGCTAGCTGACCATGATAATGAATGCAGTTACCCATGGAGGATGCGACTGGGACAGTGCCAGAAGTCGCACTCCGGTCTATGCCCAAGTGCAACGCAACGGCCGTTGACGCAGGTCTCATCACATGGGAACAGGCTGTCCACTGGTATCAAAGGTAGACAAACTCACTGCACCTCTCGAGCCCAGATCACTGATTTTACAAAGTTTCTTCTCGGGCAGTGTATGAAAGCCCCGATTCACCTGGTGAACCATACTAAAAGCCATAGCAATACCTCGTGCCCATCTTTTGCGAGAGGCATGACAACATCGCATCAGTGGCTTCACGGAGTCCAATCCTTTTTGACGCCATAGTCAGTATTGGATGTCGCGCTGCCGAAGGTTTCAACACCAGAATCTATCGTCAGTAATTTTCCTGTATGAACTGCATATGAGACAAATGCTGACGCTGTACACCCATATCTAGGCCGCCTCCAGACTCGAGTCCGTGATCAATTTACCGACCTATTCATCAACACCAATACCCCTACAGTAGAGGATATACAGGCCATCGCACTGGTGGCTGCGTACTCGGAGAACGCGTTCGTTCTGGTGGCCATGGCCCTTCGCTTTGCCATTCAGCTTGGGCTACCTCATGTTGTCGATCAGCTCATCGCCAAAAGTCACGCACGTTCCGGGATCGTGACCGCCCATGAGCAAGAGCTTTACCGTCTATCCAGAGTTTGGCTTGGAATCTGCAATCTTGAGCTCTTGTGAGTATCGTGTTAGCCTGATCGGAGAGCGCTGCTAAAAACATCCAAGTTTCTCTCTAGATGGCGGTAAACTGCCGGGCCTTTCTCTTCAAATGTCATCTCGAAAGATCAGATGTCTATTAGCTCACCCAGAACGTACATCTACCGACATCCGCCTTCTCTCGCAAGTGGAGCTCAACATCATCCGCACGGAAGCTTATACAAAGATCATGGGCCGGAGTAATGACTTTATGGGTCAACACAGCGAAGACCAACTCCGGACTACGGTAGAGGAGGCTTGTGTTGAGCTGTCACTGTGGCTCGATGAATGGACCAACATTGCTCTGACCGAACCAGCGCCACATCAACGGACTCTTGCGTTGCAGAACTTGTGTATACAGCAAGCTTGGGCGACGATGACCATGTACCTAAAGGCGGTAGGCTCTTCCGGGATCGAGAACATTGCGATCATGACCGAATTTCAGCGCGACTTCATACGCAAAGCCAAGGAGGCAGCGAATCGACACCTTCACTACATGCTTCAGTCATCGTCAACACCAACTTCATCGCCGGTGTCTCATGCCTCGACCTCTGGCTCAACGTATCTCAGTACTTTTCGCTGGACACTCGACTATGTCTGGGCTAAGTGCGCCGTCTCAGTCTTGCTGGTCCTCAAGTTAGCCATTCTCCTCCGCGACCCGGTACCTTCGGTCATGGCGCTGCTCAGCGATGCGCATCGCGTACTGGAAGAGCTCAAGACTGTTACCGTCGGCCACATCGCATACTTTCAGATCTTGCAAACCAGCATCGAGAAGTGTGAAGCTGCTCTCCGAGAGTATGCTGCGGAACAGATACCCGACCAGGACTCTTCGATGGCGGGAGCGAGAAGCAGTGTAGCTGAAGACGAGTTCCAGGGTTACGTTCCCAGCGAGTTCGTCTTCGAGTGGGGTAAGTTTGGACTGTAGAAACGCTTGTGAAATTTATACTGACTTCGTATGTCCACCTCTGCAGACTTTCCTGGGCTCAACCTAAAACATATGCCGCTCGGATGGCAAGATCTCTTTGTCAATATCGACAGCTTGTTCTAAACCAAAGGCATGCTTAGAAGGCAGGCGGCTATACTCTAAGGATTGCGATCTCTCTTATTTAATAAGGAGTACCTTTACGTATATAGTAGTTATATAATTTAGAAATTATAAGTAGCTTATCTTACTCTATATTATTATAGTACTATAAATAAAATAGAAAAACTAAACTTTAGAATTATATATACTAAAGTAAGTTAACTATAAAAGAATATAAAATACGTACTTTAGCGTCTTTATTACTTATATAACTTATATAACTATATTAGTATTTTAAATTTTTATATTTTAAGCTACTCTTTAAAGCGCTATAACAGCATTTTATAAAGTACTAGTACTAACTCTTAGTATTTTTATTTTCTCTACTATACTTAGTACTTTAAAAAGTATTAAGAATTTAAGTTAAATATATAGTAAGTTTAAGAACGCTAGTAGTATTAGTTAATATATATAGTAAATCTAAAAAAACCTTATCTACTATAGCTATTTATAAAGTATATAGTATTACTATTTACTATAAATATAGCTAACTATATAAGTAATACTTTTTAAGCTAAAAACTTTCTAAAAAAAAAGAAGAATATAGTAGAGAGTTTTTTTTATTAACTTAAATAGCCTAGCTATATACTAATAAATTCTAAAAAGTTATACTTTATAAGTAACGCCTATAGCTACTTACTCTAAAAAGTTTATACTAATAACTACTTTTATAGTTATAGTTTATAAGTTAACTAAAAGTCTAGAAAATAAAAATAAAATACTTTAAAGATAGTAGTAGCTATTAAGCAATAGAATCTATATTTAGGCAAATGTGTATTAATGTGTGTCTTATGTGGGCCGAACGCGAAGGAACGACCTACAGGCGGCTATACAAGAGCCGTGCATGTTGCGTGGATCCGACGGTCAAGCATATCCTGGGAGTATCAACAGTGTTTACATGCACATGTCAATGGAGCAAATGTTGTATGTAAGTTCAGTGTATATTGTAACTAAGCTACAACTATCGGAAGTCATGTTTCAAGCGTCAACCCGTTGATCAATATACATAGATGAAGTCTTCGTTCTTGATGTCAGTCACATCATCAAACGCCTTATCGCCCACGCCGCTGGCTTGTGCGTTCTCAGCTCCTTCTGCATCACCCTCGCGCGCAGAACCCATGCTGGTATCGACGACAATGGCCGACTTCCCCATACTCTCTCTTGTTGCCGCATGCTTCCGGTTCAGAAGCTTGATCCAGAACATTGCAAGCAGGATAAGGACGACGATCGCGATGAAGAGAGCGAGGTTGGCGCGGAGGCCTCGGTAGTAGTGTGGTTTTTCTGACGGTTTGAAGAGCTGTGGGCCGATGATGTTGCCTGCGCTGGCGCCGACGAAGAGGATACTTGTCGTTACTTTACGCTTCGTGTCGCCTCCTGTGTTTTGGCCTGACCAGCTATAGATTAAAGGTGAAATGCCGGGATAGAAAGACGTCAGCTGGAAGCACAGGGTTAGTAGGTTACATGTTTTGCGTTGCCACTACTTACGTAGTATCCGAGAAGAAGTACACCGCGATTCGAGTCGCCGCGTCCAACGACCATGAGGATGACGATGCCGGCGATTGGTGGTATACATAAGAGTATCAGCACGGGCGACTTCCGTTTCAGCCACGTGGCTAGCCAAGCTCCACCGCAGGTAGCTATAATCTGGATAACGCCGAAAGGCATGTTGAAGAGGATCGTAGCGAAGGGCCCAAACCCGAAACCTGAAGTTTGAGCAATCAGTACAGCTCATACATGCGATATGCACGGGCCTTGTTCTTACTTTGGATGATTAGAGGCCCGAAAGCACTGATACCACCACTCGGGATGCTGATCGCTGTCAACATGGAAAACCAAAGCCATGTCTTGGGATCCATGAATGCCTCCAGTACGTGGTCCCACTTCCAGACACGAGATGCAACGCCCATCTGGTTCATACGCAGACGTTCGACAGCGACGAGCTTTTCGTGATCGTTGAAGAACTTGGCCTAAAGATTGGGGCACGAAGTCAGTTTATCTCTCACATCAGCTCGTACAGGGAAACTACTTGCCTCCATGGGTGAGTCGGGCATGAACAACCATACAAAGACCGAAACGACGACTGTGAGGAGACCACAAAAGAGAAAGATGATCTGGTATGAGTACAGAAGATTGGACTGGATGTGGCCCAACCCGTAGCAGAGCAGACTGCCGAGGATGTTGACCATGCCCAGCATGGCGTACCAAGCTGCGTTTCGGTTCGTTTGCTCGCCACGCTTATACCACATTTGAACAACGGCGATGAAAGCAGGAGCTAGATGCGTTAGCGATAGTTTTCGCGATGGCTTGAAGAGTTGGCTTACCAACGGCAGCTTCGAAAGCGCCCAACAAGAATCGCGTGGCCATCAGCCCGGCGAAGCTGCTGGCACCCGCCATTCCGCATAATATGCAGCCCCAGGTGAACACCATTACACCCATGAACTTACCCATCCTGAGCTTGACCAGCAACACTGCCACCAACGGCTGTGCCACTAGCTGCGCAATATACACGATACTCCCAAGCCATGAGTATTGTTGACTGTTGGGATCGAGGTTTGCATCTTCGATGAGGCCAAAGACGGAGGCGTAGGATAGCGTGGTCTTGTCGAGTGATTGGAGGAAGTAGACGCTGAGTAGGATGGGCAAGATGACAAGATCAATCTTCTTCAAGACGCGTTTGTTCTCGGCGGATGTTACGATGATGCGTTCGTTCGAGGCGAGGAGTGCAGCCGCTTTGTCTTTGCCTTTGCCGTCCGTCGCATTGCCTTGCTTGTAAAGCGACTCCGTGGTTTCGACGTTGGGCTTGGACGCGGCGACGTCGTCGGTCACCTCCGGTTTCGACATGTTCAACAAGAAGACTACAATCAACCCAGGAAGAGTCTGAGATAATGCTGCAGTAGTAGGTCAATATGGCCCGACTGCACTTATACGCATCCCCACGGGGACCCCAGACGCTGATCTTGTCTCTCTTCGGGCTAGGTCTCGTAGCTACGGCCGAAGAAACCGGCAGCCAAGGATGGATGCCTTTAGCCTCGTGACGAGGGTAGGATCCTTCGGTTTTCTCCGATGGTACTTTCGGGCGAAGTTCAATGGCCTGTCTTGCTATAAGTACAGTATGATTCATGATGGTCATGATACTTGGCAAGAAGACCGGCATTGCTAACTGTTAAACCCGTTCTATATTCATCATGCCGATGCTTGAGCACGTCCCCAGCGGCTACCAAGCTGCTCCCGCGACTGCATCGTCTGATACGAGCGTTGAGTTGGAGTCAAACTCGGGCTTTGTTTTCACATTCGACGCCTTACGACCTGGACTTTTCCGAACGACTTTCACGTCGCCCAAGCACTTGTTGCCGCCACACCGAGCCACACCAGTACCGAGCAAGACCCTGGACGACACGACTGCGGCACGGGTATCATCAAGCACCACCTCAAAAGCATTCGCCGTCGATGGAGTCACTGCCAATGTGGATTGGGAAGGCGGTGTACCCATAGTATCACTTACGCTTCCTGGCCAAAAGACACCCATTCATACCGATCTGCCCAATCGCTCCTATGTTGCTGATGGGCCTGGGGTTTCGCACTACACACGCTACAATAATGGGACTCTTCACCTTGGACTTGGCGAGAAGCCAGCGCCCATGGATTTATCAAATCGTCACTTCGTTCTCTCCGCCACCGACTCTTTCGGCTACGATGTTTATCGTACAGACCCGCTCTATAAGCACATTCCTCTCCTGATCAATTGCACGCCAGATGGCTGTGTTGGTATCTTCTCAACGTCACACGCCCGCGGCTTCTACTCTGTAAGAGATACCGCTGTACACCTGCATCTGTGACGCATGCTGACCTCTTTTACCAGGTCGGCTCTGAGATGGATGGGATGTGGGGACGCTTCAAAGTCTATCGTCAAGACTATGGCGGCCTCGAGGAGTATCTCTTGGTCGGAAAGACACTACCGGATATTGTGCGCATCTACGCTGACCTCGTTGGCTATCCACTTCTGGTGCCGCGGTGGGCATTCGGTTACCTGGCTGGTGGTATGAAGTACTCCATGACGGACGACCCACCTGCTAGTCAGAGCATGATGGAGTTTGCTGCCAAGCTCAAAGAACACGACATTCCATGCTCCGGCATGCAAATGTCATCTGGCTATACGGTCGCAGAGACAGAACCGAAGACGCGCAACGTGTTTACGTGGAACAAGCACCGGTTTCCTGATCCGAAAGGCTGGATCAATGCTTATCACAAGGAAGGCATTCGGCTCATTGCAAACGTGAAGCCGTATGTATTGGGCAGCCATCCCGAGTATCAAAAGCTCAAAGACGCTGGCGCATTCTTTACGGATTCGTTGACACTCGCATCAGCTGAAGCGAGACTATGGAGCGCGGGTGGAGGTGAGAGTGGAGTCGGTGGCCATATTGACTTCACCTCAAAGGCCGGATACAAGTGGTGGTACGACGGCATCCGCGAGCTGAAGCGTGTCGGTATTGACTGCATTTGGAACGACAACAACGAATACACTGTTCCACACGACGGCTGGCAGTGCGCGCTAGATGAGCCAGCAGTTACCCAAGAGCCCAAGAGCGACCACTATGGCACCAGCATCGGATTCTGGGGTCGTGCCCTCAACACCGAACTGATGGGGAAATCTTCGCACGATGCGGCCTTGGAGATGGAACCTGCGCAACGCCCTTTCATCTTGACCCGAAGCGCCACAGCAGGAACGCTTCGATACTGTGCAAGTGCCTGGAGCGGAGACAATGTCACCTCTTGGCCTGGCATGAAAGGCGCCAACGCTCTGTCCCTCACCGCGGGCGTGTGTCTAATGCAATGCTACGGCCACGACATAGGCGGTTTCGAAGGCCCACAGCCCAGTCCCGAGCTTCTCGTCCGCTGGTGCCAGCAAGGCATCTACAGTTCGCGCTTCGCCATCAATTGCTTCAAAACGGGCAAGGACAACCGCG